CATAAATTTATGTGAAATATTAAATCAATATCAATATAAAAAGTTAATTTTTTACAAACTTAATTTTCTTATTTAAAATAAATTAATTAATTTAGCTATTTAAATAAACAAAAGATTTTAAATCTTTATTTTGCCATATAAAATATGTCTTTTTAAATTAATGTTTCTTCTTATAACTAAAATTCATTCTTAATGTTTCAATTTTATTTATTTTCTCTTTATTTACAAATAATAAATTTTTTATTAAGTAACTAATAGAAATTCATTTATCGCTTAAATAAAATTTAGAAGCTTTGTGTCGCGAATATTGCCACTCGAAGGAATATCACGACGCAGATTATTCGCGGTGTAATGGCAAAGTACAGTGTGCCATCGAGCGTAATCGCCGACGGCACGAAACGTCGACATGAAAAAAATGATCTTCTTGGAAGCCGGTAAATCGTTGGAGAGGGACTTATGATTAGCCGTTACAAGCCAGTGACAATAGTCAAACCGAGCATCTTCCTAACGATTCATCAGTGAACCTTTATTTGTGACTTCGTTTGCGACACTAATCTCATTACGCAATTCATATTTACATTGTTTTCTTCAAAACAATTTAGTTATTTAATTTCTAAGCGAGTTTATCATTATCAACTTAATGGCGATTACATCTAACTGTACCGTTTTTCCATCGTAAAGAAATTCAAATGGTAAAAATCTTGATGAATTTTTCAGAATACTGAAACTTTTTTTGTCTATTTGCTCTTCTTTTTATTGATACTGGCATAAACGATTGTTACTGCAAATGTAAAATAGCAAGAAACAGCAGCGACGAAATCGATGCAGATCAATATAAAGTTTACCTTCGCATAGAACCGCGCCTTTCCCGTCATGAATGCGCAATTACTCCACTATTTTTTTACTACTATATGAATTGCTAAAGCTACAGTGGCAAATATATAACAAAACGCTCTTTCATACAACCACACATTGCGATCGAATATCGCGAAAAATTTGCGTCGTTCACATATGTATGTCAGCGTAACTAGCATGTGTATCTGCTCTATTTCTTTCGAGCTTTGAAGCCAATTATTATCTTGCACAGATCTTAATGTGAGATAAAAATAACTTCGACATCAATATATTTACAAATAGACTAAGCTTTGTTGCTGCAATAATAATAATCTATCTCGATAATCTGATAAACAAAATTATATAACTTTCTATAACTCTCATATAATTGTAATTTAATTGCATAACTGAATTTAACCAAAATTTCTTCAATAGTTTGTCCAATTTGTATTTTCTTATTATTAATTATAATTTGTTTCAAAAA